GGTTTTCATGAGCTGTAAGCCATAATCATCACAATTATGACAAATCACAGCTTGAACTATCTTGCTTTGCATGTAATGAGTCTTATCTCATCTGTTAGTTTCACCTTTTAAGTTGCATTACTTAAATAAATGAACTTTTGCACGCTATTCTAATTTTTCGAGTTCCACCTGTATTTGTGCATAAGTACATATTTCCCTCTTTTTTTTTTGTTGTGGACCTATTTGAATGTACTTCTACTTCTAGAGTGGCTCAAATGCAAGTAGCAAAATCACGTAATTCAAGGCCCCTCATTTGAATTAAAAATGAAATAATGTAAAGACACCAACAATGGGAATGGAATGGAACACACTTGAAATTCAAAGACAAAAAAAGGCCAAAAGGCACTAGATCCATTCAAAGAATCTGTCTCTAATCATCATCTCATTCATTCCTGAAAAAAATCTATGGAGGTTCTCAGTCATTCAGGTCATGGTTGTGCCAAAGATGCTTTTCCAATAGGCAATGGAAAACATTTTTTTTTCCTTGAAAATATTTCACTTCCCATCCAAGAAGCTTCTTCAGTTCTGATGGAATGGTAGGGAATGGAAGGATTTATATTCCTTGCAGTCATCTGGTTGTTAACACTCACACTTGAGAGTTGATGAGGCCACTTGAAGGGCACAGATAAACCTCCAAGTTAGCTCAAGTATTCTCAGAGAGAATGTTAATGGCCAGATGACTGCAAGGAATATAAATCTTTCCATTCTCTGCCTGTCAGAACTAAAGAAGCTTCTTGGATGAGAAGTGAAACGTTTTCAAGGAAAAACAAAGAAAGTCAATTTGCCTTTTGAAAAAGCACCTTTGGGACATTCCTGAGAAGCTAATTTCTTGCTAGGCGGGGTTTCTAATAAATTTGTTAATCTAGGGTCAGTTAATTTTTATAGAAGGGCAACTCAAAGGATAACAAAGGTGCATCTGCTAATGATGAATGTTTCCTATTTGGAAAAAAAAAAGGGCAGTGAAAAAAAATCAATTTACCTCTTATGTTGTTAGGTATTCTCGGGACTCGGGAAGGCAACATTCGAAGTTTGAAAGCAGGATCTAAAAGTTGAAGAGGAGTCCAGTATAAATTTAAGGAATGCGGTCCAGTTTTATGGTTTTATATTCTGTAATCGCTGCTTTCGTTTATTAAAACCCAATAAACCAGCAATAGGACCACTGAAGCCCAATCCAATCCCTCAGCATGTTCTCCCCATAGAAAAATATGGACTTACCGTTTTGTCGAGGGTGAGTGTACTCTGGGGAGATGGGAAAGAGAAATAGGAAAAAGTCAGAGAGAATAGTAGACACAAATTTCTATGGCATCTTGATATACAGATAGTCCTCCACATACAACCATTCATTTAACAGCTGAAGTTGTAATAGAACTGGAAAAAAATGACCTGCAACCAGCCTTCAGAACTTAAAACTATTGCAGAATCCCCATGGTTACATTAAACAGAGGCACAGAATCAAGATCATGCGAAGCATTAGTACCACTTTATAAAACCTTGATAAGACCACACCTGAAGTACGGCAACCAATTTTGGTCACCATACCACAAAAAAGAGGTTGAGACTTTAGAAAAAGTGCAGAGAAGAGCAACTAAGATGATCAAAGGCCTGGAGATTAAACCATATGAAGAATGGCTGCAAGATTTCAGTTTGGCTAGTATTCTAAAGAAAAGAAGGACTATTGGGTGACATGATAGCAGTATTCCAGTATTTGAGGGGCTGCCACAAAGAAGAGGGGGTCAAATTACTCTCCAAAGCACCAGAGGGCAGGGCAAGAAACAATGGTTGGAAACTAATCAAAGAGAGAAGCAACCTGGAATTAAGGGGAAACTTTCTAACAGTGGAACAGCTTGCCTCCAGAAATCGTGGGCATTCCATCACTGGAGGTTTTTAAGATGAGTCTTGATGGCAAACCTTTTTGGCACTGAGTGCCCAGACCAGAACGTGCATGCATGCGTGTGCACCAAAACATTGGAAACCCAAAAGCCAGCTGGCTAGCATGCACATCCTTGTTTTTTGGCCGTTTTTCGGACTGTTTTCAGACCATTTTTAGCCCAGAAAATGGTCTGAAAAAAGCTTGGAAAACAGCCTAAAAACAGCCTGGGTTTTCTCAGGCTGTTTTCAGGCTGTTTTCAGGCTGTTTTCAGGCTGTTCATTGGCACTCTGGTGCCTGTGAAGACATGCACGCAGGAACCAAGAAGAGCAGCTAGCAATGGCATGTGTGCCCACAGAGAGTGCTCTGCATGCCACCTCTGGCGCGCATGCCATATGTTAGCCATCATGGGTCTAGACAGTCACTTATCTGAAGTGGCATAGGTTCTCCTGCTTGAGCAGAGGGCTGGACTAGAAGACCTCCAAAGTCCCTTCCATGTGATTGCCATTTGTGTCCTTCCCAGCAGCTTCCAACAGGCAGTCAATCAGGGCTGCTGGATTCATTTAATGACACCATTTACATAACATCATCATTAATTTGCTTAATAACTGTGCCAAAAAAGGCACAGTTGGACACGACTCACTTAACATCCATGTTGATTTGCAATGGAAATTCTCGTCCCAATTGTGGTTGTAAGTTGAGGACTAACTGTAGCGAGAAGCCTATACATTTCTACCTCAGAGTTGTTGGGAATTGAGCAGTGGAGTCTAACAATGGTAGCTATTATTTTGAGGGTAAAGTTGGCAGGTTTGGAAAAGACGTGACTATTCATGCGCTAAAAATCTCTAAAAGCTCTTGCCTGGCTAGGAGTCCCTAAATTTTACTCACAAACAACATTTTTGAAACATCTGGCCTGCATACTTTCCTCTATTTGGATTGGCCTTAATGAAAATATAAATGAAGTAGGTCACATCTGGCTTTACTTTTCTACATTTCATTTAAAAGGCAAATAGGATGCTTGGTAAATTGCACAATGCAAGTTTCCGCCATCATATTTATTCGCAAAAATGTATCTGGATGACAAATCGTTGAATACTGAGGGTTGATAGTGTAGTGTTAGTTTTCAAGTCTGGTTATCTTAAAAAGAAAGATAAAGGGCCATCTTTTCCCAGTTACATTTACCCGGCCCATCAGAGAAGGGAAATGAGAGATTTTATGGGCCCTCTCTATTAAGGAGTTCCATGTGGGGTGACATTTAATGTTTTTTACTACTGATTCTGTGGGTGTGGCTCAATGGGTATATCAGGGGAAGGATACAGCAAAATCCCCATTCCCTCCCCACTCTGGGGCCAGCCAGAAGTGGTATTTGCCAGTTCGCCAAACTACTCAAAATTTCTGCTACTGATTCTCCAGAACCTTTCAGAACTGCTGAATTTCACCTCTGATCTAGGGGGGACCAATAAGGCGGGCCTTCTCTGTGGTGGCTCCGTCCCTATGGAACACTATCTCTGCAGAACTAAGATTGGCCCCCACCTTGAGACTCTTTTGAAAGGCCCTGAAGGCAGTTTTGCCATTGGGACTGGGAATCTCCAAGGTGATGTGGAGCCCCATCAAGAATTGTTTCCTTGTTGTCACCAGGGGGTGAGGGAAAGTGGTGAAATTCAATTTTTTTACTACCGGTTCTGTGGGCGTGGCTTGGTGGGCATGGTGTGGCTTGGTGAGAGTGGCTTGGTAGGCGTGTCAGGGGAAGGATACTGCAAAATCTCTATTCCCACCCCACACTGGGGCCAGCCAGAGGTGGCATTTGGCGGTTCTCCGNAGTGTGCCTTTGCACAAAAAAGGTTGAAAAACACTGCACTAAAGGACACAATGAATGATATACTACAGTGGGGAAATATACCCCAGGCATGGAAAGAAGCCAAATATTGTATTGCTCCCAAAGGAGGGTCAAGATGTTACAAAGACAGAACTATAGACCAATCTCATTATTAAATAAAGATTACAAACTCTTTGCTGCTCTTCTGGCAGAAAGATTAAAGAAGATTTTGCAGGTGTATATACATGAAGACCAAGCAGGCTTTCTGCTGAAAAGACAGCTAAGAGATAATGTGAGGACTATCTTAAACATTATTGAATACTTACAATAGAAACAGGCTGCCTTAATTTTTGTAAATGCAGAGAAGGCATTCGACAATCTAAATTGCGCCTTTATGTTTAAGGTGCTGGAAGAAATGGACTTTGGAGCAAATTTTATCCAAGCAATTAAAGTGATCTTTTTGAGATGAAGGAAAAGTTATTTATTATTTCAAATCATTAGAGCTGACCCAACTCCGGTGGACATTAGGTAGCATACAATCTCTTCTTTCCCCAAAAAATATATATATCATAAAACGAGATTAAACGTTAAAATCACATTGACAACCTGGAGTAAAATGATCTAAAAACAACACAAACTAAATCAAATATTCCACCCAAACCCTCAAAATAATTAATCACGGGCCTGGGAACAAAGCTAGATTTTATGGCGGTATAAAACAATTTTAGAAAGCTCAGCACAGTTTATCCTTCAGTAGTTTCCACTTCCTCATACATATGTTCATCTTCCATTCTCTTCAACTCTTCCAGTTCTTCCTGATGTCTTTCTTTAAACTCCTGGAGAGCTGCAGTTTTCTCTTCATAGTCCTGGTTGACCGAGCAGCCTGGGGATTCGTGGCCAAGGACAAGATAGGCTGTGGCATCTGCCAGCATGGCTGAAACCTCGTGGGCGAGGGTCTCCAAGGACAAGGGCCAGTAGATGTCGTTACTGGTATTGTAACGTTTGTTGAAGAGATTGAGAGGCTTCGGGAAGTAGTGAGGGAGGCNAGCCAGTGCAGCTCGCGGAGGATGGGTGTAACATGGGTTTATCTCGGTACACCCAGTATCGCTCGCGTGGCTGCATTCTGGACCAATTGTAGTCTCCGAACACTTTTCAGGGGCAGCCTGAATGTTCCCCCTCACACACCGGCTTTGCAGACTGGTGTGTGAGGGGGAGAGGGAATGGAGTGCATGCGCACACGCCCGCCTGCTGCTTGCACAAGTGGAGATGCACATGTGTATTCACTCGCCTGCCACTTCCGTGGCCTGGTTCCAAACTCAATGCTGAGTAGTGGGGGCCACGGCTCGGGGACTGGGGACCTTTGCTCCACAGACCTTCCTTATCACCAAGAAAAATTAATTTTGTGAATCTGCAAGGTGCACTCCCTTTTTTTTTTTTTTTTTAGCGTTCACAACATTCTCTTATTTTAACAGTGTCTGGTCAACAGAGTTGTCCATTCCTGCACTGGATTTCCATTGCACTGGTTAAATTTTCTGAAATGGCGCACCTGGATTCAAGGCGATCCCTACGTACTGATGAAAGTCCTTCAGGATTCGCTCTGGATCCAGATTATGATGGCTGAGACTCTCCTAGCAAAAAAAGAAAAAAGAAAACTTTTTCTCCCCCGCCTAGAAAAAGATCTTTTACCCAGCAAACATGTCCCAGATTTCAGATTTCAGCACTAGGGGGAGCCACCACCCCCACCCCGCCCATCCTATTGATACCTACCTCGCACATTTCTAACTTATAAGACGCAGGGTCATCATCCTCTTCCTCATCTTCCTCCAACTTTGATTTTGGCTTATTACAATAAATCTTCACATCTGTCTCTGCAAGGTCCTCAATATCCACAAACATTTTGGTGCCCTGGCAAAAAACCGGCAGCCCTTTGTCAGGAAGATCACGGATTCCCTTGTTGCGGAAGATGTAGGTAGGGAGCCGGTGGGTGGGGCGGCTGGAGGAATTAACGGGGACGATACTGCTCCGGAGCGCCAACTTGGAGTTATACCGTATTGGGATGAGGAAGTCAAAGTCGTTGGAAGCGCCCTCCCTTTGAAGGTGCAGCCCTTCATTGTAGCTGCCCACCGGAACGGGGTCCGAGGGATACAAGCCAGTGCTGGACTCATAAGCCCATTTCACAATCCTCTCCACCGTGGATTTCACGACGAAGAAATTCTTCCCCACCAGCCATTCCTTGTTTCCTGAAAGGAAAACTGTTCCAGCATGGAATTCCTGCAGGATTCTCTCTTGCTCACTTAGGTCGGCGTTGCTCATTTTGAATTTTTCTCCTCAATTTTTTTCCGTTTCTTCTCCGGAGCCCTCCGCTGAGGTTCCTTTCGCTTTTCCTTTTCATTTCTGAGTTGCTTTCCTGTTGGTTGACAGGCTCTTTGTGACTTTTGAACTTGGCAGAAAGAAGAGGGAGAAAAAGAGAAGAGCATTAACCCTCAAGTTGCAGGTTTTTGCTGCTCCTTAAAGTTGGGAGATATTTTTTTAAAAAGAACTGGAACTAAGACATCAAGAAACGATTCAATATTTTCCTCATCTCAAAGACGCCAAGCAATGATTCCATATTTTACTCACCTCGCTCATTCAAGCAAGAGGGAGGGAACTTTTAAACTGTTTTTAACTTCCTTGTTATTGTGAAGGCATTTTTCAGAACAATTATAATACAAGCTGAGAGTTTAATAATGTACATTTCACAAATAAGAGGCAGGAATTAAGTTTCCAGCATGTGAAACAATCAGAGCTGAGGAATAGCAATAATCAGCCCAGGTCGTCCTTGAGGTATAGCCGTTGTGAGGCCTGGTTATCATGGTCATAAATTGTGACAGGCATAAATCGGCTCACCCATGTGATTCATGTTTACAACCTTATTTGCAGCACTTGTTAAGGAAATGGTTTGCTATGAGCTGTTTGGCCAGAAACAGGAAATAAAGTTTTGAACAAAACTCTCAAAAACATGGTCACATGACTGCAGGACACTGCAAGCATCCATAAATGAAGGCCAGTTGCCAAATGGCCAACAAAAAATGCCACAAAGAAGGTGGAGCCAAGCTATTCTACAAAGGACCTGAAGGCAAGACTAGAAGCAATGGATGGAAACTAATCAAGAAGAGAAGCAACCTAGAACTAAGAAGAAATATCCTCTTCGAATGATTAATCGGTGGAAGAGCTTGCCTCAAGAAGTTATGAATATTCCAACACTGGAAGTTTTTTCAGATATTGGACAACCGTTTGTCTGAAATGGTATCGGATTTCCTGCCTAAACAGCGGGTTGGACTAGAAGACCTCCAGGGTCCCTTCCAACTCAATTCTTCTCTACTCATCCCTTCCCTTTCCACTCAGTCACACAATCGCAACTGGTTGTAAGTTGAGGATATATGTAGCTCAGCGTTGAACTGTGGGGTTCTTGGTGCTCTCTGAGAGCATGCTGGTTTCCTTGGAGACGTTTCATTACCCAACTAGGCAACACCATCAGTGCTAATAAGTGTACAAATAGGGAGCAAACCTCTCACTCACTGGCACTGACATTACCTACTTGAGTAATGAAATGCAAGTAAACAACCAAGAGCAGAGAATACCAAGGACAGCACAATAGCAAAACCATCCATATGTCAAAAAGTAGCCCAACTCTTTCTGCGTTTGCTCTTAGCAGACTATTTCAAACAGGATTTCTACCAAGGATCTAAAGTTCCAGAGTTCATTGTGTCCCCTTCTTCTGCTACCCAGAGACTGCAGGTAGTCCTCGACTTACGACCACAATTGAGTTCAAAGTTTCTGTTGCTAAATTAGACATTTGTTAAAAGTGAGTTTTGTCCCATTATACAACCTTTCTTGCCATGGTTGTTAAGTGAATGATTGCCGTTGTTAAATTAGTAACATGGTTGTTAAGTGAATTTGGTTTCCCCATTGACTGTTTGTCAGAAGGTCACAAAAGGTGATCACATGACTCCAGGCATTGCAGTCATCCTGTCAGTTGCCAAGTGTCTAAATTGTGATCGTGTGAACATGGGGATGCTGAAGGGTTGTGATAAAAAATATGTTGAGGCTCTAGAAAGAGTGCAGAGAAGAGCAACCAGGATGATTAAGGGATTGGAGGCTAAAACATACGAAGAACGGTTGCAGGAATTGGGCATGGCTACTTTAGTGAAGAGAAGGACCAAGGGAGACACGATAGCAGTGTGCCAATATTTGAAGAGCTGTCACAGGGAGAAGGGGGGTCAACCTGTTTTCCAAGGCACCTGAAGGCCAGACAAGGAATAATGGATGGAAAGTGATCAAGGAGAGATTCAACCTAGAAATAAGGAAAAAAATTCTGACAGTGAGAGCAATCAACGCACGGAACAGAAGTTGCCTTCAAAAGTTCTGGGAGCTTCATCACTGGAAGCTTTGAAGAAGAGACTGGAGTACCATCTGTCAGAAATGATGTAGAGTCTCCTACTTGGGTGGAGGGTTGGACTAGATGACATACATGGCCCCTTCCAACTCTGTTATTCTCTTACTCTTGAGTGTGAAAAAACACTCACATGTCACTTTTTACAGTGCTGTTGTAACATCAAACATCACTAAATGAAGCGATGTAAATTTAGGATTTTAGGATTTTATTAGTATTTATAGGCCGCCCTTTTCCCTGAGGGGACTCAGGGCGGCTTACATAAAATAAGGAAGGGAGGGTACAGACAATAGACACAAACAATACATAGAAGTAAAATAGCAAGCAACATTCATTCATCATTCGGGTGGGGACAAATTAGCTTTATCCCCAGGCCTGACGGGATAGCCAGGTCTTAAGGGCTGTGCGGAAGGTCTGGACGGTGGTGAGGGTACAAATCTCCATGGGGAGTTCGTTCCAAAGCGTCGGAGCTACTACTGAAAAGGCTCTCCTCCGTGTAGTTGCCAGTCGGCACTGACTGGCAGATGGAACTCGGAGGAGGCCTAATCTATGCGATCTAATTGGTCGCAGGGAGGTAATTGGCAGGAGGCGGTCTCTCAAGTCAAGAACTACCTGTATTCCTCTAAGCCAGTGCTTCTCAATTCGGCAACTTTAAGATTTGTGGATTTCAACTCCCAGAGTTCCCCAGCCATGGGTGTGGAGCTGCCAGATTTGGCCTGCAAAATTACAGGCAAACCTTAGAAGACAGTCCAGTGTGTCGCAGGTTCTTTTATCTATCCAAATTCGGTGGGCTCCCAGTCAGCCAACACAGGCCCCCTTGGCCTTTAGCCAGCTCACTCACAAGCACACGAGCGGTAACACTAACAATTCCTTCCCGCACACTTCCCCAGATCTACCTCTGCTGCAGAGGTGGTATTCAGCCAGTCCTTTCCGGTTCAGGCGAGGCTCCGCCCACCCACCCCCGCCTTGACATAATGCATGAGCACTGCACATATGCAGAAGGCAGTGCGCAGACAAGGCACGTGCAAATGAAGTGAGCGCACACTCGCTCACATTTGCGAACCAGTAGGGAAAGTAAGTGAATCCTACTGCTGCACTGCTCCTACTACTAACAGTAAGCCACTCCTCTCTCTTAGCCCTAGGCCTGTACTGGCAAACCTATGGCATGGGTGCCACAGGTGGCATGCAGAGCCATATCTGAAGGCATGCGAAGTGTTGCCCTATGTCAGCTCCAGTGCACGTCTTACGAACGGTGGGGGGGGGGAGGACGTTTTCACACTCCCCAGGCTTTAGGAAATCCTCTGGAGTCTGTGGATGGTGAAAAACGGGCCCAACAGGCCTGCTGGAAGTTTGGAAATGAACTTCCGGTATGCCTATTGGGCCATTTTTCACCCTCCCCAGGTTTCAGGCTTTCCTGAAGCCAGGGGAGTGCAAAATATGTCCCAATGGGGCCAACTGGAAGTCCAGAGGCTTCAGTGAGGCTTGCGTGCATGTGCGGGGGATGGACCATGGGAGGGGGTTGTGTGTGTATGCACCAGGACCACACAGGGGAAACCACGGGTGTGTGTGTGCTCACATGCACCAGGGAGAGGGCATTGCATTATGGGTGTGGGCACACACATACGTGCTATTGCATGCGCACCAGTGGTGGGTTTCAAAATTTTTTAGAACCTCTTCTGTAGGTGTGGCCTCTTTGTGGGAGTGACGGCCATGTGACCAGGTGGGAGTGGCCAACTTGTAAAATGTGGTGAAACTCACTTAACAACGCTCTCGCTTAGCAACCAAAATTTGGCTCAGAAACTCTGCCATTTGAAGCATGTACAAGACCCTCACACCCCTAACCCTTCAGGAAAAAAAAACCAAGGGTGTTCAAACTTGACAGCTTTAAGACTTGTGGACTTCAACTCCCAGAATTCCTCCTCTCGCTCTTCATCTTGATGATGTGTGCGTATGGGCAGGGGGAGGGAGCTGGAACCGGTTCTAAACGGCACGGTAGATTTGTGGAACCTCTTCTATAGAAGAGACTAGAACTGGCAGGAACCCACCCTTGATGCGCGTGCGTCCTTTTGACATCCGAGCAGAAAAATGTTCGCTACCACTGCCCTAGGCTGCTTTTATGTCCAGCGAGTAACAGAAACCTTCTCCTCTGTGGAACAATTCTAACACAGGAACTACTACACAACAGACACACAACACACACCCAGCTGCTTTTCTGCTGTTTTTATAGTGCTGGTGGCTGAGCCGCTGGGCTGCTTGGAGTGGGGCCTTAAAGGGGCAGAGCAGCCTCATGGCAGCTGCCAACCATTTTTCAGGCTGCACAAAGAGATACAGAAACTTCCAACTTTGCTGCCCCCTAGTGGCTACCAAAGAGAGCCAGTACAGGTAGTCCTCGATTTGCAACCACTTTTTGATGTTACAACAGCACTGATAAAGAGACACGATCATTTTTTACACTTACAACCATTGCAGCATCTCATGGTCACATGATCAAAATTCGGCTACTTGGGAACTGGCTCATATTTATGACGGTTGAGAGTGTCCTGGAGTCAAGTGATCACTTTTTGCGACTTTTTGGCAAGCAAAGTCAAGGGGGAAAGCCAGATTCATTTAACGACGACATGTTACTACCTTAACAACTGCAATGATTCACCTAAGAACTTTGGTAAGAAAGGCGTAAAATGGGACAAAACTCCATTTGACCAACTTAGCAACATACACTTTGGGCTCAATTTTGGTTGTAAATTGAGGACTACCTGTATGTAGTAGTTAAAGAAAGGAACTAAGCTAGAAACTGAGAGACTAAGAGTTCTAGTCCCAATTTAGGTATAATGCCTGCTTAGTGACATCGGGCCAGTCTTCCCCTCTCAGCCCTAGGGAACATGCAATGGCAAACTACTACCCAAAAAATTGCAGGGACCTGTCCAGGCAGTCAATAGGAATCAAAAACTGACTTGAAGGTCCATGTGCTGCACACACACACACACACACAACACACACACACACACATACACCAGATATTTTCAACTCAGGTCTGTAGTTTTGTAAGCAAAAACCAAATTCATGACTTGATTCCTCAATAGATGCCTGCTGATTTGGCTTCCAAATCTGTCTGTCTGCCTATATGTGTCTATATGTGCCCATCCATCAGTCTCCATCCTCTCATCTATCTATCCATCCTCTTATCACATGTGATCTTCCTCGGTCTATCGTTTTTTATCTATCTGTTAGATTTATTTTCCCCTCTTCAAATCACGTTCCAGTTTTAATTCTGTTACCCCACCCTGCTCTGGAAACTTCAGATAGCTACATCTTATCCAGATCCGTAACATTTTTGACGAGTGTGAGATTAAAGGTGAGATGTATTCTAGCATAAGGTGGAGATTCTGTGTGGATCCAGAGCTTGTACCAGATCATGAGGAGCCCTTACCCCACATGCGGCTCCAGAGCCATGGGTTGCTAACCCCTGCCTTAGCCAAACCCTGTACCCTGTTGTCAGCCCTTCAAAGCAGACCAGACTAGGAAACAAAGTCATGGATGCTAATCCAGTTTTTATTATAAGGTTACAGTCGCAGAACCTTGCAAATCTGAATACGCTTCCCCTCTCCCTCTATCTTCGTGAGAAGGTTTTTGTTGCAACTTGAATAGTGGCTAAATGTATGGTTGTAAATCGAGGACTACCTGTATAATATAGGTATCAAATCAAAATTTTCCAAGATACAGGTAATCCTTGACTTAAAACAGTTTGTTTGTACTGTTTGTTGAACAGTACAGATTGTTCAAACTTATAATGGCACTGAAAAAAGTGACATGACAATTTTTCACACTTATGACCGTTGCAACATCCCCACGGTCATGAGATCGGAATTCAGATGCTTGGAAACTGACTCATATTTATGACAGTTGAGGTGTTCCGTGACAACCATATTACTAACTTAACAACTTCAGTGATTCACTTAACAACTGTGGCAAGAAAGATTGTAAAATGGGGCAAACCTCACTTAACAAGTGTCTCACTTAGGAACAGAAATTTTGGGCTCAATTGTGGTTGTAAGTTGAGGACTATATGTACTTTCTTAGTATTTTGAACTTAACATCTCTTTAATGAGTCAAATCAAAATGAAGGAAGCAAAATCAAAATGAAGGAAGCAAAATCAAAATGGAGGAAGCAAAATCAAAATGGAGGAAGCAAAATCAAAATGGAGGAAGCAAAATCAAAATGGAGGAAGCAAAATCAAATCTAGGGTATCAACAGCAAAAGTGTATCACTCCCTATCCTTCCCTCTTCTCCCATATTTCCCCTAAGATCCAAAGGAAAACAACAAAAGAGGTTGTGTAGTATTTGTACTGATTTTAAGAGTGAGGATTAAAGGTAGAGCAATCTATATCTGGGTCACTGGTGGTGGATCTGGAGAGTGGACGGATTCATTCCACCCTTTCATCCACTGATCTTCACCCCAGTGGAAACCGAGGGCGTTGACCATTGATCCTGACTTCCCACTGATGAACCTCAGAACCGTGTTGGGGTGTGAGGGCTCTGCAGTGAAAGGCATTCCCAAACCAGAATTCGACCCAAAGGTAAAGACATGGCCCATGTTGGTGCGGAAGGCCAGGTATTCCACGGCGTTTCCAAAACGGCCATTCACCTGCACCAATCCCTCTCCAAAGAACAAGTGCATGTCCGAAGGGCGCCCTGTTGTGCTGCCTTCATTATTGGACCATGTGTCACCATAACGAACTTGGATGCTGCGTTAACAAGAGAAAGAGGATGTTAGACGTAGAGTCACCTTAGATGGAAATTAATGATGATATTCATGAGGGGGTCCTTGGTGCTCTCAGAGCTTGCTTATTTCCTTGCAGGCGTTTCATTACCCAAACTAAGTAACATCATCAGTGTTACAGGCAGGGCCACGAAATGTCTTCAAGAAAACAGGCAAGCTCAGAAAGCACCAAGGACGCCTCATGTCAACCTTGAGCTACAAATATTTTCTTTTATTGATGATACTCATCTCAGCAGACCTACGTAGGAAATCTTTCACCTATAATTCCATCATCAGAATGAAGCAGAGCTAGGAAATGGTTCCAGAACATGTTAAAATATTCATGACTGGGAGAGACATGGGAACAAGGTCAGCCAATGAATAGGCATAGCAACTAAATCAGCCAATGGGAGCTCAAACAGATCTGAGTCTGTGCAGAGAATTGAAACAGAAATTTAAGCAGTCTCCTGCTCTGAGAGGACAACAGTCTGTCTGTGATTGTCTGCTGATATGAAATTGCTTGTGTTTGCCTGTAACTCTCTTGCCTTGTGTTTACTTGGAAGAACCACCTGTTGGTATTGTACATTTATTTATCTATTCTTATGTATATAAAGAAGTTAATGAATCCAACCAAATCCGTTATCTGTGTGAGCTTCTGGATTTGAATTTATGCAACAAACCCTGACAGAACAGAGTTCTGAACTTGAAGATCTGTGGACTTCAACTCCCAGAATTCCCCAAACAGCCATTGCTGGCTGAGAATTCTGGGAATTGAAGACCATTCATCTTCACGTCGCTGTGATTGAGAAATATAGAAGGAATCAACTTCCTTCCATTCATCCCTTACTTTCCTTCGGTATTGATCTAGATATGTTCTTTAAACATGATTTGCAGCACTTAGACATACGTTTTCACATACAAATAGCTTACTGACTGATTAGTCAATCAATTATCAATAAACTGTTTGCACATTTAGGTTATTTATGCTCTCCTCAGTTGATTCATAATTTTTAGCAGTCAGGTTAAAGCCCAGCTATAGACAACTGAGGTTCATTTAGATATAAATACCTTAGGATATTTCTGTCATTTGACCTTATTTTCATCGCTGATATAGGGCCTTCAAACTGGTTGCTGGATTGATCAAAATAGTCCCCATCATTACCACCATATTCCCCAGAGTAAGAAGGGAACGTTCTCTGATCTGGATCTATAAAGAAGAAGGAGAACCCGTTAATTAAACAAGTTAATCAACCAATCATTCCTAATCTTCCCAAGTTCCTGCAGAACGGCTCATGAAGCTATAGCCCTGTGATGGTGATACGCGGAGCCTCTCTGCAGGAAAGTGAGTCATCGCCTCAGCTCAGCTCCACGTGTATGCGTGTGCGCCTTCCACCGGCCAGCTAATTTTCAGGTCTCTGCTGCACATGTGAGAGATGCATGCACATGCGTGTGTGTTTGCATGCACATGCACGGGGGGATGCAGCGTGCCCCCATGTGACCCATTTTTGGTCTCAGGAGGCTGCAGAGAGGCCCGCTAGGATTAAAATTGGGTACATGCGGGGGCCACGCACTTATGGGGGGGCACGGGGGAGGGCAGGGGCATGTGCGCTCATGCGCAGGGGCGGGGGGTGTTGCACACACATTACATTATGGGTGTGGGCATGTGTGTGTGCTATTGCACGCGCACACATGCTTCCGGCACACAATGACAAAAAGGTTAGCCATCACTGCTATGTCCCATTTTGTGTCCCCTGATTAAACAGCTTTGCATTTGTGTATAGATGGTTCACTCAGAGTTGAACTAAAATTCCATAGAAACAATCACATAGGAAGACTGCTTAGAGATAGGAAGTTCTCTTGTACATTCCTGCTCTCCCTTCCCATCCTCTAGGGGCTCAAATATTACTGAAAAGGTTTTGTGTTCTACTAAAATTCATACTCAAAGCAAAGTAAAATCATTAATGTTTGAAAATGTATTTATTTAATAAAGCAGGTGATTCGGTAGAGATGATTGTGAATGATTATTGAGAATGATGGATAAATGGATCAGTGTTTCTCAACCTTAGCAACGTTAAGGTGTGAAATTCAACTCCCAGAATTCTGGGAGTTGAAGTTCACCCAACTTAAAGTTGAGAAACACTAGATAAGATGGTAGTGCTGTTTTTTTTTCTTTTGTAAATATTACAGGGAATCCTCAATTTACAACCAGTCTCTTAACAATTGTCCAAAGTTACGACTAACTTTTAAAAATCCGCTTATGACTTGTCTTCCAAATTGCAACTGCCACACATCCTCCACAAGTCACAAGTACACATTTTAGGTCCTTGGCAACGAACTCACATTTATAACTGGTTGCAGCATCCCGCAGATATGTGACTGTGATTTGTGATGTTTTTTGCAGCAAACACAAAAAAGACTCATTAGGTATGCTGGATTTGCTTGACAATCCTGGTGACTCACTTTGCAATTGTAAAAATGGTCATCAAATTTAGTTGACGTGTGGTGCTTTCACTTAATGACTGCAACAATTTATTACGGAAACTCCATTAAAGTCGTAAGTCAAGGACTATCTATACAAGCAGAGTTAGATAGCAGGGGTGTCAGGATTATAAATTTAGAATTTTAGAATTGTGTAAATGTTCTTTCTACTATATAAATCTATCATGGTATATCTTTAAGTTGTTGCTTATGTGCAATTTTAATTGAAATTTACTTTTTTATTTTTGATGGCATACTTTGGGGGCACATTATAATTATCATTTATAAATAATATAAATTCTTGGTTGGCTAGTTTTTAATTTTTTTATGCTAGTAACCTCTGCAGACATATTTGCAAAGCGGGTTGTACATATCAGGACTATGGTATAAGTTGATACTTTACTTTAGATTTACTCACAGAGAAAGTCAGAGAGAGAGAAAAAAGAAATTTAACGCATAACTTGAAGTGAAGTTTTATGAGTCATGGAGTCTGTTTGGCTTCTTAATCCATATAAGGCCAATCAGATGCTGCCTTCTGCTGTGGCAGAAGATAATTGAAATGTGTGCGAATGAAGACCACGTTGAGAATTGAGTTAGCCATCCATTAATATTTGGGAGTACAGGATTTGTCTACTAAACTACAAGATTGGCTGCTAAATTAGACTTACATTAGAGTTACAATTTTCAAACACAGCACTTAATATTTTAATCATTTAATCCTGGCCTGTAATAGTAGAGATCTATGCAATCAACTAGTGATTTAATTCAAATTATATCTTTTTCGGCCAGCACTTGTAACTCAGATCTGCTACAAAAATCTGTATATTGCTGGCTGGGAAAAACTGCTTAACCAATAAATTTCTAATGAAATAGGTAACAGGTTCCTCCTTAGGGGACCTAGAAAATATGCTTTTTCTGTGGTTGCCCTGTTATTGGATCTGCCTCAATTCTGCTCACCTTTAAGAAAGTTGTTAAACCTGGCCAATCCCCGGAAGCTTTAGGGGAAAAGAGTGGAATTCCCTTTAGTTTCTCTCTTGTATGCTTAATAGCCATTGTATATATTTTTTAGTTTATTGTTTGTTTGTTTTTTGTGTTGTTCATCATGCAGTCACAGTGTTTAAGCCTTATAAATCTGCATAAAAATATAACATTTTAACATGTATTCTCCAAAACTCTATGCTTTTAACCTATAGGTTGGGGGCTTCCCTGCCTCTCTTTTGCCTATGGTACACACATTCAAACACACCGTTCTCAGTGCAAATTATCACAATTTTCTACAATACTTATTCCTCAGGCATTGGATAGAATTCAGTGAGAGTGTTTCTAGATCAATGTTTTTCAACCTGGGCAGTTTGAAGATGTGTGGATTTCAACTCCCAGAATCCCCCAGCCAGCCAGTTGGCTGGAGAATTCTGGGAGTTGAAGTTCACCCATCTTCAAGTTCACAAGTTTGGGAAACATTGTTCTAGAGCTTACCTGAAGCAGTTGACACTCCAGCACAAAGAAGGGAAAGAAAGACAAAAAACAGCATCTGGAAAGATGAAATTGGCGTGTTCTGAAAGTTACAGAGCGGGAGAGAGTTATAGTTAACATGTTATCTTTTACAATACAGATCTAAGCAGGATGTGTCATTGAATTAAACAGATTTTTCTTGTAAATATATCTGTTTAGAAGGCCAACCTTAAATTCATTACAATACATGTAGGCTTGTATTGACATGCAACCATTCACTTAATAACCATTCAGAGTTACAGTGGCACGGCAAATCACTAGTCCTCATGCTTATGAGCATTATAACATCACCATGGTCATGTGATCAAAATTCAGGTTACATGGCAATTGGCATGTATTTATGATGGTTGTGCCATGCCAAGATCATGGGATTTCCATTTGCCAGATTCATGGGATTGCCCAGCTGGTTCTAACAAGAAAAGTTAATAGCAGTAGCATTTAGACTTATATACCACTTCACAGTGTTTTACAGCCCTCTTTTTTATAATTTTTATTTTTTCATTTTCATACAAATAACCACATGTATTCCGTTACATAACCAACACTATTTTGTATTATTAAATATTATGTCAATTTGTCTTACCATCAATCCCCAAGAACTATCATTGGTTCTTCTGTTCTCCATACACTATATTAGTATCTTATCCATCACTTTCCTCTCCCTCTCTCCTCCACCATCCCTCCTTTCTTCCCTCTGTCATTCTTCTCTTCTCCCCCTTCCTCTCTCCTTCTCCTCTCTCCTCTTTCCACTCCTCCTTCCTCTCCTCCTCTTCCTCCCCCTCTGCCTTCTCTTCTAGCGCCTTTGCAGCCCTCTCTAAGTGGTTTACAGAGTCAGCCTTTTCTCCCCAACAATCTGGGTCATCATTTTATTGACCTCGGGAGGATGGAAGGAAGGGTGAGTCAACCTTGAGCCTGGTGAGATTTCAACTGCCAAATTGCAGTCAGTCGGCAGTCAGAAAAAGTAGCCTTAATGGGGAAACCAGATACATTTAATGACTGCATGATTCATTTAACAACTTTAGTAAATCTCTTAACTGTGGGAAAAAATTCACACGTCACTAACTTAAAGACTGCCTTGCTTAGCAACAGAATTTTGGTCAAATTGTGATTGTAAGTCAAGGACTACCTGAAATAAAGATGCTGGCATATTATCTTAACACAGTGATGGCAGGCAGTTGAATTAGAAGCAGGTAAAATGAAGCAAGATATGAAAAAAAGATTGTTTTTTTTTTAGGAAGACAACTGAAGGAAGGAATTGTCAGTTCAAAAATTCTATTTTAAATCCACAGTTAAGCTTTCTTAAGGTTATTGTTTATGATCACAAGTTATTCTATCTAAAATTCAGTCTTCTACTACAGAATTTGGGATTTCATGATGTTGGCTGAAATAAGAATTTGAAGGCAAAAATCTAAAAAAAGAAAAATGCAAGCAAAATAAAAATGGGTGTGATTGTGGTATGATTAAAATAGCATCCCTTCAATATTTCTATGTCAGTTCAGAAGAAGGTCCTGTTAATTTTAGTGAAATTTATTTGCAAGCCAATGTATTTTAGACTGGATTTATAATTCCTCTCTTTTTTCTCCTTCTCTTTATCCCCTTTCTCCTTCCCTCCCCCTTCCACCTATTTTTCCTTTTTCCCTTCCTCCCGCTCTTCCTTCCTTCCTCCTTTCTTCCTTGTCTTCTTCTCTTTTATTTTCCTTCCTCCCTTCCATCCATCCATCCATCCATCCATCCATCCATCCATCCATCCATCCATCCATCCATCCATCCATCCATCCATGAGATTCTCCCCATAAAAATGTCCTCAGACGCACCATGCATCTTTTCACCCCTGTAATTATCACCATAGGTGCATCTACATATAATATTTACATATTTCTGCAGCACAACTATAATTTACCTTACGAAATTGAACCATTATTTGGTAGAGGAGCTCAAGGCAACAGGATTTCTCTTTGCCTTCCTGAGGCTTAAGATTTCAAATAATCCCTTGTTTTCTATCTCTACTCCTGCTGCAAATGTGGCCTGATTTGAGAGAAAGGAGCTCCTATTGGTTTGGCAACAATTCGAGACATTTCTGGAGTTTTTTTTCTACCTGTTGTTAGCCGCAGGGCACACAAACAGAGCTACTATTGTGAGCTTTCCTGCTCCTGTTTAGAAGTTCTTCAGAAAGAAGAAAGAAAGTCATCATTGGACAAATCTACGCTTGAGTGTTTGCACAGAACTGTCTTTTTAACCACAAAAATTTCATACTTTAGTTTTCAGTCATTTACATGGCAAATAAAAATAGTACGGGCTCCTCTTTTGATTCACCTTGGATAAAGAGAAATTGAAAAGAAACCCTTTCTATACAGGTATCATGTTTCCCCCAAAATAAGACAGGGTCTTATTTTCTTTTGACCCCCCCAAAAATATGGCCTTGGTCTTATTATCAGGGGGGCCCTTTTTGTCTTGGAGGAAACAGCAAGTGTGGTAACTTCATGGCAGCTATGTTGCACTGCTGCGACAGCACAACACAGGCATTCGCCCTTGAGGTACCCGCGTCCTCCCGTCCCCATGTTCTTTGGGAGCCAGCTCACAAGAGAGAAGCTGTCCAGCAACCCACCTCTCCAGCCAGGCAGAGCGTCACTCACCCAGCAGTATACTGAAGGCGCCAAGACGCAGAAACTGGGGGGACAGGCGCTCATACAACTTGGCGCCTTCGATACCGTTTGGTCGGTGAGTGGTGCTCTTCCCAGCTGGAGAGGGGGGGGTGCACGAGCACCTGTTCCACCCCCCACTCACAGGCCTCCCATCCTCACCATGATCTGGGCCAGCTCTCCCTGCGGGGCCAGGGCTGCCGCCGCCGCCGCCATCCCAACACTGAGGATGGCTTCTTCTGTGGCTTCCAAACCCTGGAGGTCTGCTGCCAAGTCTTCCGGGAGTCGGGCCACAACCATAGAGCGGGAAGGAACACTGCCGGAACACTCTCTGCCCCAGCTCAGCAGCCACGAGATGGCCATGCTCACTGCCTCCTGCACCCCCAAAACAATAACACCCCGATAATAATATCCTGAAGGCACCAAGCTGCACAAGTGCCTGCCCACCCCAGTTCCCATGACTTGGTGCCTTCGGAATACCATTGGGTCAGTGAGTGGCACCCTGCCTGGCCGGAGGGGCCAGGAGGGGGTGGGAGGGGCCAGGAGGGGGGTGTACAATGGGCTTATTTTGAGGGGATTGTTGCCCACCCTAGAAATCTGGCATGGCTTTATTTTCAGGACAATTCATGTTTTTGGGCAAACATGGTAGTCCTCAATTTATAACCATTTGTTGAGTGACTATTCAAAGTTAAAGGTAAAGGTTCCCCTCGCACATATGTGCTAGTCATTCCTGACTCTAGGGGGTGGTGCTCATCTCTGTTTCAAAGTCATGTGGCTGGCATGACTAAATGCCGACGGTGCATGGAACGCTGTTACCTTCCCACCAAAGGTGGTTCCTATTATTCTATTTGCATTTTTACACGCTTTTGAACTGCTAGGTTGACAGAAGCTGGGACAAGTAATGGGAGCTCACTCCGTTACACGGCTCTAGGGATTCGAACCACTGGACTGCCGACCTTCTGATCGACAAACTCAGCGTCTTAGCCACTGAGCCAAGGCCATAAAAAAGTGACTTACAACTGGTCCTTTCACTTATGACCAATGTAGCATCCCCAGGATCACAGGAAATAAATCCGAGCGCTTGACACTTAGATGATGGTTATAACATCCTAGGACAGGAGATCACTCTTCTCATCCAGACAGAGGTGATTGCCTGGATAGCTGAATTGGGCATCCAGTTATGAGGTCGCTGCCATACCTCTGTAGAGGTTTGTATAAAATTATGTGGATAGCGTATATATGTTTACTTCTCTTCTGTTGTGTTCTCATCATACGTCTTCAACCTTTTGGGTACCAAGGACTGATTCTGTGGAGACAGGTTTTTCTACGGACTGGAAGGGGCATAGTTTCATCTGTTGCCTGCATCCCATGGATGAGGCTTCGCTTGTTTGCATGACCCAGTCTCTGGCATATCATGGATCAGGAACTGTCCATGGACTGGGGGTTGGGGACCCCTGCGTTAAATAATATAACAAGCAAAAGCAAGGGGGGGGGAAAAGCCAGATTCACTCAATGACCACATGATTCACTTACCAACTGCAGTGATGACAACCATAGCAAAAAAAAAAAAAACGTTGTAAAATTGAGTACACTTAACAGCCACTTTGCTTAGCAGTAGAAATTCTGGTTCCAATTATGGGGATGCTGCAACAATTGTATGGGTGAGGAATATATGTTTGAGTGCTGTTGTAACCTTGAATGGTAGCTAAGTAAAGGGTTTAACTCTTCTGGGAGAAATGCAGGATAAAATAATAATAATAACTACATACTGGTCTTGATTAACTCAGCGTACTAAGCTATGAAAAATTACCCAGTGTTCAAACTAACCAAGTTTAGCATGTTATGCTAAGACAGCCACTGGATATTAAATTGCCAACAAATGCCTAATTTTGTGGTTTGTGAACCTGAAGATAGTAAGAGCTGCTCCTGAAGCAAGTGAACTCACAACTCTATGGAATTGTTTCTTGCACAAATGGTGTGGTTCCCCTACTAGGATAGCAAAGCATAGAACATTATGCAAAGGCACACAACTGCCACATGATGGCAGCAGAGCCCATAATATTGTTGTGGCTCAACCCATACTGTCTTAATCTGTTTCTCAACCTTGGCAACTTTAAGATATGTGGACTTCAATTCCCAGAATTCCCCAGCCAACAATACTGGCTGAGGAATTCTTGGAGTTGAAGTCCACACATCTTAAAGTTGTCAATGCTGCAAACACTGGTCTTAATTTTCTACAGTATCATCAGAGGTGGGTTCAGGGGTTGGTTCCGGCTTCTTTTACTGCTGGTTCGCTCAGGGACCCAGCTGATCGGCACAGCAGAGTGAATTGCCACACCTCAGCTATTTTCCTTGGTGGGTTTTCTGTAAACTCTGCATGTGTGCTCAGCTTGCACTCATCGAACCAGTTTTCAACCGGTAGGATCCCACCCCTGGTCATAAGTCACATTTTTCTGTGCTGTTGTAACTTTGAACAGTCACTAAACAAACTTGTAAATCGAAGACTACGATATATATTGGAAAACTCAGGCAACTGACATCCAGGGATTCAGTGGTGTTTGCGGGATGTTGTTGGAAGAAATATCCAGGCCCAGTTCCAAGCCAGGAGAAAGGCACGGGAAATAAAATAGAAGCTGGAATCTGATTGGAAAGAAAGGTTCCTTTATTGATGAAGCAGAACCACCAACAACGTATAATTGAGGGTGGCTGACAAAAATGGAGTTTAGAGTGGGTGGGTTTTTATATCTTCTGGATTCCTGTGTGGGGTCATGTAGGGGTCATGGCTGGCTCTATAGGCAAAAGGGGGAAAATGCAGATCCTGGGTCAGTTTTTCCGTGGCACGACAAAACCGCGCTCGACTAAAGCGCACCCGATTAAACCGCGTCGCTGATGTCATCAACAGGG